AGGGGGAACTTTAAGTATTTTAACGATAACTGTTTCAGTTGTTTTTCATGCAAATAAAAACATTTTTGAAAATGAAAAGAATCTGGGGGTGTGATGCTAAGTGAACTTACTGACCAAGCTGTCTGAGTTGCATTGTGGGTAATGAAGGCACCAAGACTGTGGGCAATTAAAAAGATGATATCGCTGCTTCTGCTGCACTGATTTAGATTTTTATTTTATTTTTTAACGTCCTTTGTGAGTATAATGCTAAGTTGGTTGAGTACTAAGATCATGCATCTTAAATCAGTGCTTCCCATCTGTTCTGGCTCACTTAAAATTAAACACTTGTCTACTTGTGACCCCTAACCACAGGTTACGGCCTTAGTGAGGATATGAGTTGTGAACAGTTCAACCAAAGACAAACTTTTCCCTTTGAAGTAGTGGAATTATCCAGAAATTAACAAGGAAAAAAACAAAACAAATGAACATTATTTTGAGCAAAAGAAACCTACACATGTTTTTATTTTAAAATGTAGGCCAACCACCTGCTTCTGATCAGTTAATATCACTTTACCTCCAAGAATCTGTGAAGGAAATTAAGCACTGTTCATTAAACTTCATGCAGATAGTAAGGTCAGTAAAGTATTGATTTCCATTATATTTCTCACCTTTCCTTTGACCAAATTAGGTGCAGATATGAGTTTTACAGCCAGATCTCTAAGCTACTGACATTTACATGTTTGTTATGTCTGTTCTGCTGGCTGGAGGTCTTGGGGTTGAGTCAGACCGGCTGTATTGATCGGCCCTCTCTATCAAATGCAAATATTTGGGTTCCTGTCAGGTCATATCTTTTGATTTACCTCAGATGGGACCTCACTACGGATGAGAAAAGCCTATGTCTTAGCTTAATTCAAGAACAAACTTTTCAGAGTGTAACAAGTCCATAAACTTTTACCTACTTGGACGGAAGGCAAGTATTATCAGGAGAAGTCAAAGTTCACAAAAATCTCCGCTGCGTGTCTGTCTACGCTGATTGGTTCGAACCTCACCTGATTGAGACAAAGTTTATGCCATGTCACAGCACATATCAATCAGGAAGAGGAGCAAAGGAAGTGCCATGATTTGTTTATTTATTAGCCACGTGTATGCTACAACATGGGTTCAGACATGCATCAATATGGATACAGAGAGCAAAATGTTATTTAGCTGAAAACACTTGTGCAGATCTGATATATCTCTCTTTCTGGAACGGTTTGCATAATAGAATTTGTTCTTCATAATAAAACGTCATGCAGAAGCATTTTGGGGCCTTCTCCAGAGGACCGACAGAGAGCTCGCACATGCACAGCTGAAGGTGACGTAGTGACAGTGGCGATAAAGAGACCAACATGTTATCTGTATCAAAAAGCAAAATGCATTTCACATCAACAACAAAAAGAGCATTCACGTCATTTTAGTAACCAAACATCTGCAAGTGTCCCACTGACTATTTAACATATTCATGATGCACAGTAATTATGCACAAGAACACGAGTGAAATTAATGTTTTGGTGTTGCAACAGTCAAACAAACGTGGTCACGTAGATCAGCTGATGGCATGTTACATGATCTCATACGACAGGAGCACAGATCAACACGTGGGAAAAGAGGTCGGAGACAGAAAACTGGGAATTCCCTCTGTTGGGTCTGAGCGTGGAGGCACACTTTGTCACAACATACTGTCTTAATGATGATGATAACAAGGGCTTTATCTTCTCCATAAAATATGATAATTACTCTATTCAATCATTACCGCTTGCTGTTTATGTATCATACGATGTAGTTTACGATATGATAGCGGTGAAAAGGGCTAAATGAGAGCTTTATGGTTTTGTGTAGTAGTCACTCTTTATTACAAAGCGCCAAGGTCAACATCCATGTTGGTCACCTGAAAACTGTTGGAAACGTAGCTTGCACATTGCACTTTGGGACAAACCACAAAGCAAGAGGATAATATTCGTCTACCTGTGCTCACTGGAAGACAATATTCTACAGGGAGAAAGATGGAGAAAGAAAATAGACGAGCAGTAGACGTTTTTAATCCTCAAACTGGACAGTGTTGTCGTTTAACAGGACATGCCAGCGCTCGATCTTCTTGTCTTTGTTCTTGAGGCATTCGTACCAGTGCTTCAGACACTCTCCTTTAGCCTGGATGCCCAACTGACATCCTCCTGGAGGCAGAGAGAAAAGAAAGTGTTAAAACTGAGCGTCGACGTACATGCAAGCAGCTCTGTGAGGCTGTATTTAGCCACAGTTGTGTTTTGAGTGAAAAACATGTTATCACAACATGCTAACATGCTCACAATGCTAATATGTTGTTTATTAAATACAGTGTTTACCATGTTCACCATCTTAGACTAGCGTGTTAGCATTCAATATTCTTCTATTCTACACTAAATGTGAGGACAGTGGATCACCATAGTTATTACAATTTAAATAAATGTGTGTATGAAATTTAATAGTGATGTATTTAATTGTTTAACGACCAGTAACATTTAGTGGCATCTAGCAGTGTAGTTAAAGATTACAACTCCCTCTGCTTCACCTCGGCCTCTCTTCACAACAACGAAGGAGATACTCCATAGAAACAATGGCGGTTCTGCATAGAAGGCGTCTAGATAAAAACGTCTCATTCTAAAGTTATACAAAAACACAAATGATTCTATTTCAGGTGATTATAAACTAATGAAACATATAATATATATATATATAATTTACTATATATATATATATATATTATTGCTGCTAATAGATCCTACACACTGGACCTTTAAGATAAGATAATATCAGATATACTTTAATAACCTCAAGGGGAAATAAGAATGAAATATGTTTGTTTTGATTAAAGTGGTAAACTAACCAACAGAACAACATTGCCATCCCGGCTAATATGCTGATGTAAGCAGGTTTAATTAACAGATATGTTAACTATCTTAGTTTAGCATGTTAGCGTGAGGCTGACTGGAATGTCATTAGTCCTTTATTAAGTATTCAGTCATAAACCACTGACAAAAGATAAAGATAGACGCCATGACAGCTCTCCGAAAGTGAAGCCAAAACACATCGATCGTCCCCTGGTGGCTGACTTCAGTATAGGTCATAAAGCCTGCTGCCTCCATGTTAACAGACAGGACACTAAAATGTAAAAATACACATCAAATATATTTTTCTTAAAGATGGTTTCTGTCATTTGAGGTAATTCTTATCACACTGATGTTTGTTCAAGTGTTCTTTTTTCTGATGAGTTTGGTTTTAATTAGTTATTTAAAGATATAACAAGGGGGTTTCACGTCATGATCGACATCTGAGCCCAACCCTGATCACTACTGCAGAGAGCAAGATGGCTGCAGCCTTATCTGGGATATTTTGGCTTCACTTTTGTATCGTGGGAGGAAGTGGAAACAAAAAGTCCATCTTTATGTATGTCAGTGTCATAAACTATGTCAATCCCATCAGCCTCAGCTGTGTGTTAATTCTGCTACATATTAGAGAAACTGGAACTATGGTGGTGGTATTATGAAAAGGATCACCATAGTTATTATAATTCATTCTCAGGGTGACACCAACGTCTGAACCAGATTTCATGGCAATCCATCCATCAGAGACAATTCACTCAAAAGCACAATTTTGAACCTTCGTGGTGGCACTAAAAATCATTTGGCCTACATTGTCTGCTGGTGGCACTAGAGGAAAAATTACGAGACCACCAAAATCCATTAGGATTCGTCTTCTGGGAAACATCGATATTTGTACAAAACTTTATGGCAGTCTATTTAGTAGTTGTTGGATGAGGAAACGCGATTGCAAGACAAGATCCACACCTACCAATGAAATCGTTGGATTTTCCCATGTCATAATCCCAGACTGAGATGTCAAGGGTTTTCTTGGCTAGCTCACCATGTTTTATTTCATAACCGAATTCCTGAAACACAGTGAAGTTACAGTTAATTTATTACATAATCTATGACTGAGAAGTGGGTGACGGTAAAGTTCAGTATGTCCAAACAGAAAACAGCGGTTTAGAAAGAACTGACCTCGTTAAACTCTGGATTGAGCGTCTTCTTTTTGATCTGTGTCTTGTTTTTAGCTTTCTTCCCCATATCTGGTTTCAGACATCTACGGCACAAAAACATGTGTAAGATTGTTGTTATTTCATTAAAACTTTTACAGTTTAAATAAATGGTTCAAAATTTTGGGAAACTTATTCACTTTCTTGCTGAGAGATCGATAGCAAGTCCATTTAGCCTAGCTATGTATTTACAGTACAGACCACTGAAAGTATATAATTAATGGACAGAGTCTGTGAAGTGAAGCCAGCGTGGAAGTGTGTTAAAACTGCATTCTTTCTAATGGCCAGCAGGGGGCAAAAAAAGAAGTCTGATAGTATTAAGTTTAATGGAGAAATAAGCCGACTTCTCCCTTGATTTATGAGCTCAGTAAACTGTTTCCTGTATGAGTTTCTTGTCCAGTCTCTAATTTCAGTCCTTCCTCTAGTACACAATGGATGTTCATTTAGTAAATGTTGCCCATTTAGAGTAAAATAGACCATAAAGTAGGGTATGCTTTAGGGCGGGGCTACCTTGTGATTGATTCTTATGGTTATGAGGGTTAATTCTTAGTGAGTCTGTCCAGCTCAACGCACCAAACTCAGATCAATCTGTCAAACTAGGCAGTGCTGATCAGATATGGATCCAGATTCTGTTACTGTGTTGACTATTTATCTCCTCTGTTTACCTGGAATACCAGATCCTGTGTGACCAGGCAAGCAGCCATTGTTTCCTGCTATATAACTCACAGTATGCGACGACCACACTCGAGGCTTCAAAACGGTACTCCACAAACCAATGAGTGACGTCACGATAGGTTAACACTCGGCACAGACATTATCGATCTTCACATGAAACTCTCAGAAGAAAGCGAATAAACGTATTTCCCAGAAATGTCAGACTTCATGAGAGCTGATCTGTACAGATGAGGAAGAGGAGGGTCGAGCTGACATACACTTTGACGAATGGGTCTGAGTATCCGTTGGAGTCCATGGCAGCCAGGTGAGCACAGCGGACCACGCCCACCATCAGACGACTCTGCTGACTGTTGTACGTCAGTGACACCAGGATACGACCCCTCTCCTCTGAATCCTCACCTTCATTCAGCTGCACACACACACACACACACCCACACACACACACACATAAAGGATACCACACATGCACGTACAGACCAATAGTATCTCATTTCACTGATCCTAATGCTCCTTTACTCTTTGCACATATCTGGAGGGATTATCCAGTGATTATTATACTGATGGAGGATAATGTATGTGCTTAAGTACAAAATTATCTACATTATGCAATACATGAGACTGAACTATTAACCTGCTTTATTTTCTTTTGCTGCTGTGGCAAATTTGACTTACTCGTACTGGGGATCAATAATATCTTATCTTATCTCACATTAATGTTAAACCAAAACCACCTATGTGTTTTGTCCATCTCTAAATAGTCAGTGGGTATTGTTTCCTACGGAACACGTTCATTTTAAAGAAGTGGGTCACGAGTATACTAATCTGCTTGACAAGGTGGAGGAGTAAATGAAATGGGGGCAGTACAACTCTTATATATTAAGCGTTTAATAGCTTTTCCAGCTCATAAAACCGGTTTACTATTACATAAAATGTAAATAACTGAGGGTGATACTTTGTTAGTATGCTGGTTAACAATTACAACAGTTACATTTTTATTCTATGTACATGAATTGTTTGGTTTATTACTATTTTTATTTTATTTCTTATGGTTTTTGGGGGGGATTTTGTCAGTGTTATGGACGTACTTGCGTATTGTGGTTATAATGGATCCAAATGTTTTGTTTATCATGAAAACAATAAACTGAACAAATAGCTCAGTAATCTGCTCAAACAGCAGGCCACCGTAGTTTAAATCAAACGTTACAACAGGAGTAAAAAGTGCATTTCTTAGGGACTATTTTCAGCAGCGGATTAATCCACATTTGGTGCTCTAGTGAGTATTTGTGGCAGCAGGACGGTGTTTGTGGGATTAATCCAAAATAAACTACAGTTTGTATGTTCATTGTAATGAAATAACATAGCTCTTGAATTCATAGTTTTTGAACAGTGGAGCTCTATGTAGAAATACACCAATCTGACGTTTCCTCTCCTCATACGTCAACTCAACCCATATTTAAAAATCTATACAAATCACTGAGTGGGTCTAAATTTATTGCTGTGACACTACCAGAATAAGTTCATGACTGGCTAAATGAATGTAACTGATAGCGGAACCAGTGAATATTTAAATGATATTTATAAAGAAATGTAATGTGAGTCGATCATGTCCGGTAGATATCCGATCTGCTTATGAAGTTCAGTATTGGATCTATATGTGTATGGCGCAGAGAAATTAGATATATGAGGTTTTGGATATACAGCATCAATTCATTGTGGGGTTTGGTCTTTAAATAAGTAACATATGTTCTGCTTTTCTCCCTTTGAACTTTTTTAATCTAAGCTGATTTCTTTGAATCATTAAAGTGCTACAATATCCGATACACAGTAGTTTGAAATCCATGTGAGGGTCTTACGTCATCCTCATAGAGAGCCATGCCACGGGCTGGACCTCCTACAGCCTTCTTCACCTATAAAGAGAGTAAACCAATAATAACCATTATCACTATCATAATAAAAATGCTTCATATTTGTACGGTACACTGTAAAAGTTCATATAACTCAAAAAATTGTTAAAACCGATTACATCAAGGAAAACTAACTACATTTTGTAAGTAAAAAAAACATAGTAATTTTAAGTAAGAATGACTTTCATTTCTGTTATTTTTATTTGTACTGTGAAAACAAAAAACCTAGTAAAAAGTGATTAATCAGGAATGTTTCTGTAACTGTAATAAACTAAGTTAATACCACTTTACTACTAGTAAAAATCTTTTTAAATAAAAAAAACAGCATTTTGCAAATTGCATTTAAACAGAAAAATCTCTTTCCAGCTACACTTCAGTACATCTTGGGAAAGTAGTTCCTAACTAGATCATAGTGGTTTGGATCAAGTGCCACATCACATCTTTAACAATACGAAATGTCGGTGCCGTTCTCAGGCTCACCGGGATCACTCGCTCTAAACAAACACTGAAGTTCTTCTTCTGGTCAAACTTCAGTTTCTTCAGGGCAACTCGAGTCTCTCCTATGAATTCATTGTGTCCAAACTTGTCCTCGTCACTCACTGAAAGCCTACAGACAGACACGAAACATGACATTACGTAATGAAATTTGAAGGGAACGATGTAGGAGGACAGGTAGGTCTTACCGGAGAGTTTTGCGTGACATTTCGTCATCAGTGATACCGTGGTATACCAGAGTCTCATTCCACACTGGATTCAGAGTGTTTTTAAGTGTCTTGGTGCGGAGCTTGTTAGACTGAAGGAACAGTAACACAACAATGTTAATTCGAAGCTATGTTGAAATAACTGAGGGACCGGTGCTCATAAAAACATCAGGCAAATTGCTCTATTTCACAGAGTAAGACGCTCAAGAGAATAACGACGAGTCGTAAATCACACACCAACAGTGTCGGCTCATATATCTGATGCCATGAGCATTAGTTAATGGGTTATTGCTAGATCGTGTAATTTGAGAACGTTCCAAATTGAATAAATGCACTCCTTCACCTTCTTCACAAGCTGCGTGTTGTTATAAAATCATTAAACACAACATTGCGTCAGCTGAAGGCTCCATACAGCTATTAAGGTGTGTTCGGACAGCGAGTTATGTCATTTGACTGATGGACCAAACGGCTAATGTTTAAACTGTATATTAGCTGTTAGCTAGAGAGCACCAACCGGGTCGGTGGTGTTTGTGTTCAGCTCAGCTCGCAGGGAGATTTATTTAAAACTGCAATAATCAATATTTTTAATACGAGCAAGAGGTTAAATTACTTTGCTGAATGTGGAAAAAGCTGCTTGTAATAATGAGCCATACACTGTATATAAAGATCGATGACGTGTCTCCACTTCCTACCGATATGTGGGATACGTTGTAGAGTTCTGGCCCAAAGGGTTCAAGTGAATCCTGATTAATACAACTTTAAAAAGGTAACAAGACAACTAAATCAGAGCTGTGCAGTTAGTTAACGTGATTGTACCTTACTGGCTCCGGGTAAGAGGTGCAGCTTAACATACGGGTCAGCAAGTCCATTTGAGTCCATTGGCTTTAAACCCTGAGACAGAAAAATAACAGTCAGAATCAGGATGAGATGATGTTTTTATATGTTTCCTGAAATATTTGCACACACTAAATGTTGTTCTAACATATTTTATTGTTGGAGTCATTGATTGCTTTTGGATAAGTCATGTCTCCTCTGGTCTTTTCTTGTCTCATCTCATCTCATCTCATCTTGACTTGTCTGGTCTAGTCAGGTCTGGTCCCATCTAGTACCGTCTTGTCCTGTCTTTTCTTGTCTTTTCTTGTCTTTTCTTGTCTTGTGCCATCTTGCTTTGTCTTGTCCTATCTTATTTGGTCTTGTCTTGTCTTGTCCCATCTCAGCTCATCTGGTCTCATCCTGTCTCGTCTTGTCTTGTTTCATCTCGTCTTGTCACATCTTCTCTTTCTTGACTTGTCTGGTCTGGTCTTGTTATCTCTTGGCCTGTTTTGTCTTTTCTTGTTTTGTCCTGTCCGGTCTTGTTGTGTCTTGTCTTTTTTCATCTTGTCTTGTCCATTCTTTTCTTGTCTTGTCTTGTCTTTTCATGTCTTTTCTTGTCTCGTCTTGTCCCATCTTGTGCCATCTTGCCTCGTTTTAGTCTTAGTTTAATTTGTCTTGTCTTGTCATATCTCATTTGGTCTTTTCTTGTCCTGTCTTGTCCTATCATGTCTTGTCCCATCATGTCTTGTCCTATCCTGTCCCATCTCATCTTGTCTCGTCTCGTCACATATTCTCTAAACCTGTCTCGTGCCGCCTTGTTTTATCCTCTCTTAATTTGTCTTGTCCTATCTTATATGGTCTTGTCTCATTGTGTCTCTTCTCGTCTCCTGCGTGTACATGCGTGTTTACCTTCGCTTTAACGATACAACAGTGTAGGGCATGGTTCTCCTGTTCGTAAAGGAGACTGAACTCCAGAGATCCCAGAGTGGCTGCGAGGATAAAAACACAGGGACACATTAGACGTCTGAGAGACAAATGGAATCTGAACTTTTATATGACTCCTGTTAGAGAAACCAATTTCCCTCTAAAACAGATAAATATTGATTTGTTGTTCTTCATCGCTCCACTTGGAATTAATTTTTTTTTACAGCTGTAGGAATTCATATTATTCAACATCTGGTTCTATAAACCAGGATTGGTTTTAGAGGACTAATCAGTCTTACTGGCATCATCTGAGTCATAGTCGTTGTCCTCGTCCTCTGTTCGATCCGGTGGGGGTCGTGTGGGAGCAGGGTTGCTGACTGGTACCTTAACAGGTGGAATATTTCTGGTTGCAGGAACATGTGAATTGGTGACAACAGGTTGTCTTTTTTCCTCCACGGCTGGAGGAGACACTGTCTCTTCCCTCACTGACCGCGCCACATCTGCAGCAGGAGCTAGCAACGTTACAATTCAAAATCAGCAATTAATACTGTCTGAAGGATATTTTTATACACTGTTGTTGATGTTAAACCGTTTGAAAGCCGCCCTGTGGCGTTGGGCTTATTCTTGGAAGGAGCAGCACTACTTTACCTGAGGTGGGGGCGGCCTGCTGTGCGTTTGCCCGAGGTGGCTTGGAGGCTAACATGTGTCTCTCAGTCTTCATTACAGCTGCCGGAGGGGACTGACTCTCATTATAGCTGTCGGCTGTTGTTCTTGCTGTCTGCTCCCATTGTTCTGATCCACAGGACTGCTGCTGCTGTGCCTCGGCTCTGAGCTCTGAGGAGACAAAATAAAAATATCACTGCCACCAAAACAGCTACTATTGGTGCTATAGCTCTTAGCTCTACTCCCAGCAACATAGCTGAGTCCTATTCCCAGATTGTCAAATATCAACGCTTTTGTAACCTAAAGCGAAAATTTGAAAAACTGTAGAGAACAATTGATAAACTGTACAATGAACAGTGAACACCAAAACTGCACAATACTGTTAAACCAGAGCTTTAGTGATTTCTTCTCATTGTTCTATTATAACTCTTTGGTTGTTTTCTAACGCAGGACAAGGCTGTTTATCAAAGTTTATCGAAGATCTTAAATAGAAACATAAACTTTAAAAGTAACAATTTCATTTAGATTTCTTCACAGAAATAAACAAAATGCTGAGATATAGGCCTCCTGTTCATCGTTTTTAAGTTTTCTTACACCCCTTAAAATCAAGAAGGCCTTGGAACCCCCCTGTGAAGCTTTGGCCTTACATGCTCAGTTTATAAGATATGATGCATTATATATAATTAATAGATTCATTCTTATAGACTAAACTACCAAACAGCATAAAAAGTAGTTAAAATTAGTTGAACAAAAAAGGTGCTTACACAGTAATGTATCCGATCGCACTGACATCGATCATTCTTTTGCATAATCAGTACTTTTATTTTTAATCTTTTAAATACATTTTGCTGCTAATAGTTCTACTTATTTAATATTTTTAACTCGTGGAGGAGTAATTTTACTCTTTAAGTATTGCTACTTTAACTAAAGTAAAAGATCTGAACACTTCATCCACCACTGGTCCAGTCCTGAAACTTTTGTAAACAAACACATTAGAGTATTTTTGTGTTTTCTATTTGCATTCCAGCTCATGCAAAATCTTGCAGATAAGTAGAGGAATTTAAAAAATATATCCTACATTAACTACTGACTAACAAAGAGTCTTTGTAAACTTTGTGTGTGAAAATGTGAAGTAATAGCAGCTCGACTGCAGCAGGTATAAAGCCGGAGCAGAAAGTGGAAAGAGACAAAAGCACAGATGATTTTTTCTCCGTATCACTGAACGACAGGATGGATGTTGGCACTACTGTATATTTATTATGTAAAACCAGCATTTGAACATGATTTTCAAATTTCGAAATAAAGGCCAAAAGTGACAGCAGCGTTTACAGCAGCCAGCTCGGTATCAGCAGCTAACAGACGATGGCACTTTGTGTTTTGTGTAATCCATTCTGTAATAACATCAGACGTCTGTGTCCTGTGGCGACTGTGTCACTGATTGTGTTCTTATGAAACACCAAAACCATCATCTGCTATTTGGATGTCTATTTTCAGCTCTGTGTACTACTACTACTATTACTACTACAACTACTCTAATTACTACTAAATATTCCATTATATATTGTTTTTTATTGTACTTAAGTATAATAAAAAGTAAGAATAGACTAACTATTGGAGTAGTACTGGCAGCTAGTATTAAAATACACTTATATGAGTATACTAATGCTTTATAAAGTATTGAAAAGATATGTTCCTTACATCAATCCATTGATATATTATATGAATATACACTTTACTACTTTACTTTTATTAAAACTGATCAGAGCATACATTTAAATAATGTACCAAATGTACTATTATTGTTTTGTAATGAACTTAGGAAGGATACATTTACTTACAAAGTAAGTTAAGTAGTATTGCTTATTAGCATACTTACAAAAAAATACTTTAAATACAACTCTTTCTTATCGGAAAAGTTTGGAAGATCTGCTTTTAGTTTTTATGCTTCTGCTACATGGAATTCCTTAAATACTCGTGCATCCGTTGGTGAATTTAAATCCATCATTAAAAATGTTTCAGCCTCTGTTTGCACTTGTTTTACTTGAATTGTTTTCTCTTGTATGGACTGTTTTTATAGTTGTTTTAATTTATTATTTACTTTTATCTTGTATCTTTTATTGGTGTTTTAATTAGTTATGTCTTGATTTTAGTTTTTTAATAGTTTGCATATTTATAATAATTTGTGTTGTTACTCAACATTATTGTAAATGAGGGCCAGCCCTCAATGATTTTATTAAGTTTAAATAAAGATATACATATATATAGTATATTATAGTATACTTTATTCTTAACTCGGTACTATTATTGTACAACTATTAATTTATTTATGCATATTTCTGTTGAATATGATTCAAATGTTGTATTAGAATCTATATCAGCTAATATTTGTTATACATATATACTTATACTTATACTTATATTTATAGTATAGTATAGTATCATTATGTTAGCACATTCATACTCAAGCTTAATCTTAATGTATAAACTACCATTTCCTTGCTGACGATGTGTTGTAGGTTTCTGTGGTCCACTGTGGCCTGCTGGAGCAGAGCTGTTGTCGGTGCTGGACTGTCGAGGTCTGGACAGAGGGAGCGGGTCAGGCAGAGCCTTCTGGTCTCGACCCTTGAAGAACCAAGCTCCTGAACGCTTCTGTATCTGCAGGAATACAAATGAAATGAGTAAGAATGGAAACATCTCACTTTATATGCAGAACTACAGCTGTAAATGTCTGACTTATAGACAACATTAAAATATAGCAGAGTGATTTAGTGCCGCAGGTTTCTGAAGGGGCATTTTAAAGCTTGGGTTTGACAACTTGGCAGGTACTGGTAGTGATAAAGTCCAAATCTGGGCGAAGAGGAGGAGACCTGAGGGGTGCAGGGATTGAATAAGCAAGTAGCAATCACCACAGAGAAGATGTTTCTCTACATTGTAAAACTAAATTCATTGATTTTTTGGCCACTTGTGTGAAATGTCAATGTAGTTTATGCTGCCCCTCAAAAAGTGGCATAAAAAACACAGTTTTTGGAGGTTTAACCTATATTGAAAGAAAGAAAGAAGAGAAATAAGCTCCTGTTTTTGACCATATTTCCTTGAGTCCAAAATGTGTTGACTTGAATTTCAAAATAAAAGTTGTGAGATGTTGAAATTGGAGGCAGGAAGAGGAAGAGGTAAAGTTGTAAAGTTAGTTACATTTTCTTGTGTAGCTGTGTATGTTTATTGAGGGAAAGACTGATAGACAGACTCATTAGTTGTTTGATTTTGCCGGGAAAGAAACTGCTTGTTTTTTCATTCCTTTATTTCATGGAGCAGACACACAACCACTTTGTATTTGCAGCATTACAGTAGTTATTTTGTGTATGACTGACAGGACGGAGCATTTATTTAAAGAGTCTAGGCTCCCTGAGGCAGAAACTTTAACAAACACAGCGCCATCATCAAAACAGCATTGTGTAACTGCATGCTTCCATTTTTATATTATTCAAAATATTATCTGTATTTTTTTTAATTAAATAAATGTTGATTACCTATTACTCATTTTGGATATTGAGGGGGTGTCAATGGAAGGTAATTTTCCAGGTCACTGGACAGTGAAATGCAATTCTGTGTGAGTCTAAAAGCCAGAAAATGGTTCGTATCATGAGAAAAGCTCCTGTTCTGGTGGCAGAAGAATGACATAATGGGATAATTTGGCCCCTGTGATTCTATCAAACCCACTCTGTTCTTCATCTTTCCTCACCTCTTGGTGTTCGCTGCAGATTCTGCACAGCCACATAGGACATGCCCTGCTGTTACTCCAGATCCCACATTTGCTGCACATGTGCTGCAAAGAGGCAAATACATACATAAGACACACACACACACGCACACAGAAGCATAATCTCACACAGATTTAGTTCTTGATGGCAGGTGCATAGAGCACATATAGTTTTCCAGTTCAGAGAACATTAACCTCTCTACTTAGTTATTGAGACCAAGCAATACACAGTGTATGTCAGAGCATGTTAGCATATGGTCCACTGGGTGCTTATCGCCATAGGAATTCTCCTGGAATCTACACAACACTATAGAAAACACAATAAACAGGAATTATGTTCATGCAGAGAAGTCCACTGGGGAAAAAGTCTGTTTTCTTTCCTTGTTCAAGCAGAAATAATACAAATAACCACCCACTTTTTTGCACTGCACACAGAGGACAGCCGTGACCCCCTGCGGTCCAAAAGACGTCCCACACAACAGGCAGTGCGACTGGCCGTCACCACACGCTGTCTTCTTGATATTATCCAGGCGACTGGAAAGACGCCTGAGAATAAACGTGAGCAGAGACACAGATTTGGCACACGTTTTACACCCAGAAATCATCCAACTCAGTGAGCATGTGTGTGTGGTTGACTGATGGGATTATGTGCAACAGAGACAATAGCTTTCCATCTCACTCAATCCTCTCCTGCTCCATGCTCTCCATCATGGCCGCACGAGCCAGCACACTGTTGATTATCTCCTTCTCCTCATCCGTGAGCTCCTCCCCTGGGGGGCCGCCAGACATGTTCATCGTCCACCTAAACCTGACCACAAAAGACACACACACACACAGAGTGTAAGTGGCATTGCAAAGTGAAAACGCAGCTCAGACAAAAAGGCCAGTAACTCCAAAAAGTGCATCAGTAAGAAGAGCTAGACACTAAAATGTAAGGACAGGAGCACAGCTGGACACATTCAGGACCTAAAGCAACACTGAGTAACTGTGTCACACACAACAGCACCGAAAGTGGGTTATGGGAGGACTCTGAATCTGGCCAGCAGACAATTTCATAAGGCCACACACACAAACTCCAGACAAGGTAACATTCAACTACTCAATAAGTTAAAGGCAAATAACATCAATAAAACTGAATTATGCTATTTTAAACTTTGAGTTTATCCAACGTAGAATTTACACTTATGCTAATTTATTCCAAGTTTGTTCTGTTTACTTTACTTGTTTACTTCATTGAAGAAGATGCAGCAATATGTTGTAAACTAACAGAAGAATAGTACACACTTTCAGTTTTAACAGTGCTTCTTCCCAACTACAGTTATTCTGATAGGGAGACCAGTATCACAAATTCCTCTGACACTGCCTAAAATGCAGTATCGGATATCGGCAAGTATGCGTGTACTGATCCAATACCACATCATTTATTAGCCCCAAAACATGACCCTGATTTTTTCCCAGCGGTGTCGCTCGTTGCCATTCCTTTCCGCCATAACCTGCCCTACTATGAATCTGACTCTGACAAAGGGTTTAACCTGAGCCAGGCCAACAATGATAGCAATCATACAGGTTTAGTAATACACACTTGTTAAAAAATAGCTAGAGCCCTGAATGTTTTCTCAAAATCCCTGAATCTTTTAGGTTTTTAAAATTACTTTCTATCAGTCTCTCTGACTGGACCTTCTAAGTTCTATTACTGGGGAAATATCATCTATCAACTCAGTGAGCAAGTGTCCAATGCACATAAAGGACTTATGGTTTAACAGTTGGAAAACAGTTCGATGCAAAATAGGATGTAAGCTCCAAAGCATGATTTCTTTCCTGGGCAAATATCTTGTTTTTCATAAATGATTTACAGATTTTTAGACATGCTATTATCTCAAATGACTTGGAAAAATAGTGCATATAGCTCCTGGAAATAAAGCCCCTAGGTTTGACTAAGCCCTGAATGTTTACAACGTCTGGATCTGCCCCTAAATCTGAACCTGTCAGTGCCAACAACAAGCCCTTTTAGGGCTTCTTTGACCTGCATATTTTGTCCCCAAGGATTAAGTAACGTTACATGGCAGCCATAGCAGCCAGGTTCGCAGCTATTTTTTCATCTTACTCTGTGAATTAGAGAAAATAGTTCCTTCATGAAACTGCTGACAACAAGATCTGTGGATTATTTTCAGTAACCGGGTTGTGATTTCTGGAAAGAGACATTGCTGTTGAGTTTTTCAAATGTATTTTTTTTGGCACTTTGAGCACCACAAGCAGAGGGCCATCTGGTTCCATTATACTGGAGAGAAGGCAGACATCTCCAAAACTCAGCAAATCACACAAAAAACAATTTAGATGGATAGAAAGCAGCACAGGTGATTTTGGTGGAAACTATCCCTTTAAAACTAAACACTTACAACAAAATAAACAATAAAATAAAGTAAAAACTCTGCATGTGGTCACTGACTATGTTTTAATGTACATAATGGAGCTGAACATCAATAAGACAGTGGTTCATTCAACCCTTTTCACATGACTGCATACTGACAACTTTAAATAATAGTTCCATTTACTACCTGTATGTATTATTTATTCAAAGATAATTATGGGAATTTAATCAGTTGAATTATTTAGTTTCATGTCTGGATAATATTTCTTACAGCAAAGCTACATCACTGCAATGTTTCCCTATTTACAATTCTGCTGTCCGCACTAAGCTGCAGCCTTCTTTCTGATGTATTTAGAGACACTGTGTACGTATTTTGCCAAAAAAAGAAAAATGTTATGTAAGATTTGATCAAGGTAGCTATATTTGTTGCATGCATAATCATGAGCCACAGCCCTTAAGGCTACAGACGGAACTTAAAAACCTGCTCTGCTGCCTTGGGATGGTTTTTACAGATTTAATCTACCTGCGTCCTGCAGAGCGTCTGTGCACATAGAAATGAGGCACAGCTTGACCACAGCTTATGAAAAGCTACTTCTAACATATTCTGCTTCTTAGTGAAAAGAACGACGTCTTTGTAATCCTCTGTGTCTTCTTATTGAGTGTGTTTAACTCATTTTAGCTACATAAGCAACAGAGATGGCAATGTTGGTCCAGACTTAAATATCTCAACTATTAGATGTTGTGACAGATATGTTTGTACAGATTAGTGAACCAGGAGGTCGACATTTGTATGAAAGGATGGATGGATTGTCATAAAGTTTGTTTCAGACATTCATGTTGCCCACAGAATTAATCGTAATCACTTAGAGGTCCAGTGTGAAACATTTAGGAGGATCTATCGTCAGAAATATAATATAATATTCATAGTTATGGTTTCATTATAGCCTACAGAGGGAGCGAATCAAAGTGTTTGGTTTATGACCAAATACCTACAAAACTAATGAGCCTCAGCTTTGTTTAGTGCTAATTAGCTAATTTTAGCATACTAACATGCTAAACTAACATGGTAAACATCCTAAATATTCTAGCTGCTAAACATCAACATCGCTTACAGAGCTGCTAGAAATGTTATTTTGATTTTTGCTGCTCTTTTTTAAACAATCCAATTATAAAACTGTCTCAATTTAAAGGTTCAGTATGTAACATTTAGGAGGATCTATTGGGAGAAATGGAACATAATATTTACAGGTATGTTTTCATTAGTGTATAATCACTTGAATATAGGAATTACTGTGTATTTGTTAGCTTAAAATTAGCCGTTTTTATCTACAGACGCTGCAAGTCACCTTCAATGGAGTCCACTATGTTGAACTGCCATGTTTCTACAGTAGCCCATAACAGACAAACCAAACACTGGCTGTAGATAAGACCTTT